ACATAACGGCCCTTAAACAAGCCACATAACGGCCCCAAAATAGGCCACAAAACAGCCCCTAAACAGGCCAGATAACAGCCCCAAGACAAGCCACATAGCAGCTCCAAAACAGGCCACAAAACAGCCCTAAACAGGCCACATAGCAGCCCCAAAATAGGCTATAAAGCAGCCTCAAAATAGGCCACAAAATAGCCCTTAGACAGGCCACAAAACAGTCCCTAAACAGGCCCGTAACAGTCTACAATTTCAGCCCAAAACAGTCCACAATTTCAACCCAAAACAGTCACAATTTCAGCCCCTTAACAACCCACAATTTCACATAGGCATTTAATCAAACACCTTCATGGCACCATATCATGTAATCACATAAAATACCTTAATTTATCACATAACTCAAAAAAAATCAAAATAAATGATTTTCAAATACCCAATTATCAAAATTTCCATGAAATCACAAACTAGCAATTTCTAATTACCAATTCACACTAGAATTGAGCCTACCCATTTCAATTAAACCAACTATAATAGACAAGTGTTAAAATACACAAAACAGCCCACACATTTCCTATGGACACCATAGGTTAGAAATAAACCAAAGTAGGAGGAAATTGTACCTCTTGAAGCGTAAAACACCCAAAGGAAGCTTCAAGAACACGATTCAAGTCCAAACCTTTGATTTCTCAAAAATTCCGTCTTTGGATCTTTGGTGAAATCAGCTCTTTTTGGTACGTAGGTGCAGCCCTCGTTGAGGAAATCGACTTTAACTCTTGGTACGGAGGATTCCGACTGACGAGACTTCAAAAATCGTCAAGAGAAAGCTTGAAGATCTTTGATTTCTTCTCTTTTGCTCCCTCTCAACCCAATGTTCAGACCATTAGAGAAAATCAGTGGGGAAATCAGATTTTTTCACCTATTTATAGTCCCAAAACCCTTGGCTCACAATGCGCCACACGACTCCTATTTTTGGGTCTGTTTTCACCCCGAAACGATTAAATTTCGTACCGGTTTAAGCTCAAAATATTTTATATGAACTTTATTTAAAATATTTTTTAAATTTCAAAATTTTTATAAAAATTTCGTTTTTGGGGTTCACCAAACACTTGTCGCCTCGAAAAACTTAAAAAATCTGACTATCTCAGAATTTGATGAAATTTGTCTGGGTAACTAGATTTGGTGAGATGAATCCAACGGTGAAGTCCGTTGCATCATCTGAGCTCTATTAAAATATGAATTTTAAATCCACATTAGAGTGACGAATTACCATTTTGTCCTTTTTGATAAAAAGTTCAAATTTTCCCGAGTTTTACACATTTCTTTTATTTTCTTTCCTTCTCCAAAACAAGTAGTGTCTTTTCAAAGAATAACTTATAGAATTAGTTTGAGTTGATTAACTCAAGAAATTGTTTTGGCATCTTGCATGTTATAATATCATGATAAAGTGTTTTGTCAGACAACAATTTTTCAGTGACTTTCTTTTCTTTTGAAATCGAAGGTATTTCGTGGCTGGGTGTTGATCAAATTTTAACTCTTGGATAGATCTTGATTGTCATCTTGGATTGCTTTGATATTTAATGAAGATGGTTGTTCTTCTTTGTTGATATTATTATGTTGGTATGGTATGTTTCAAAATTTAAGTAGGTTTGTTTGTCGTAGAACACCTTCGGAGTATACAAATATATGCAATGTGAAATTTTGAAAGGCACTATCCATTTCACCGTTTGTTTTGCTTAAATTATCATACATTATATTAAAACCTAGCTTTAATAATCAAACCCAACAAAAATGTATGCAAACTTGAGGAATGTCATGCGGGGTTCATAATTTATTTATTAAATAATTAGCATTTTATAAAGGGTGGTTGGGGTAATTAGTGCTTTATAGATTGTTTGTACAAGTTGATGTATTTTTTTGAGTCCTGTTTTTCTGAGAAATTTTGTCTAAACTTTTCAAAAGAATAAAGAAAAGTTAATTTGATTAGATATTGATGATTTTTAATTTCACATAACATGGACATTTTTTTAGTGACACAAGTTTATAAATTCCTGGAAGTTAACTTTTGAAGAAATATTTTTGGGTGCTATTGTTAGTTCTAATTAAGTATGTAGTTTCAAGAATATTAATTTTATGCATTTTAAATTTAAATTTATGGCCTTTGATTATTAAAGTTTGGTTTCTCCATCTCTTTATTGAAATTTGTTTTCACAAGAATTTTATATAGGTAATATTTTGTTGAGTATGCATGCAAAGTACAGGTGTGTTTAGGATATAGGTTAGGCTTTCATCTTAGTTCATCCCCATGTTCAGTCTTTAATTTTTTTTGCATTTATGATCAATGTTCAATTTCTTTGAATTATAAGCTACTTTAAGGGAGCTAACTTTGTTTGTTTTGAGCTTTTTATGGTTCAAATTATTTTTAGACTTTTAATCCATCGATCTTAATTACTCCCTAATTTTTTTCCCTCCCAAGCATTGGACTAAGAATTTCACCTCATTTTTAACTCTAGACTTCCATCTCTCACACATTTCTGTTTATCACACCATCTCTATTTATCACACTCTCATACTCCTTCATATATGTATGTTTCTCACTCTTTCTCTCATGCTCATATAGACACCTATCTTTCTCCCTCTCTCTCACCATCATATACACGCCTCTCTCTCTCCTTCTCCCTTTCTCTCTCTCATTCACTGATGCTAGGGTATGACTACTATACTGGGAATATCAGTTCCATTCCTTGGTGTTCGACCACCATCAAAGATAAAGATAACATGAAAATTTGAAGCTTGGATTCATTAGTTTGACATTAGGTTATTTTTCTCATGTTTCCTTTGCAAAAAAAAAAAAGATTGCACAGAAGAAATAATTGGTTCCTATTGGCTTGCAAAATAGGGCAGCTTGCTATAGCAAAAAGTTTAGCGATCAACAAGGTAAAATTATTAAGCTCTTTATTTTTTTTCTTTTTGCGTATGGGTTATTAATGTTGGAGTTCTTTTGTGATTCACTTGATGTGAGTTTGGTTGTATGATAACAGGAATTGAGTTCACATTTTTTAGTTTTGGTGTCTGAACTATTTTGTATTGGGTTGCATTTTGTACCACATCCACCACATGTTTGATGAAATTTCTCAAAGAATTGCGGACAATCACAACCACCACTTCAGACTCGCAGTCAAACCCAAAGATCAGTGATGAACTTGGTTGGAAATCCCAGCTCTTTTTAAAGGTTAAGTGTTGTTTAATTGTTTGGTTAACTAATTCTAAATTGGGTCAACATAAATGTGCAAGCCTCTGTTTTTGTCTTGAAAGTGTGGTATATGTTTCACCTCTTAAATTGGAATGTGCACAATTGTGATTTGTTATGAGGTTTCTATTTGATTTAGCTATACCACTTTCAAAACTATTTTTATGTTCCATTTTATTTTATTAATGAACTTTTTTTTACCATTGAGGAGTTTGTATATTAGTTTGCTAATTATGTCCTTCCAAAAGTATATGTTGTGTTTGTCTTATTTCGGTGTGTATTTTCTCATTTTATGCAACATTTTCTTTACATTGTGCGATCATGAAAGTTTTTCCTATTATTGTAGGCTCTCAAAGGATGTTGTTCCCAACAATTCCACCTTCGTTGAACTGTTATATTCTTTATCACCGGCAAGGATTCGTAGTGCACTATGAGCTGTCAAAGATCATCATCAGGTAGATGTCTCTCTTTTTAGGCTATACATCTATTGGGGTGATAGAAAATGCACTGCAATAGATAGTTGTATCAGTTTTAGTGATCTTTTTAGTCGTTTATTACATATTTCGATATTTCTTTGTAATTATGTGGTAGATAAAGTTACTATAAGCATTTTTATTTTAGATTTGCATCACCAAACTGTGACAAACATTGTGGTGACTAAACAATTGGGCTGACACGTTCTTGAAGTACCAAAGTTGGTTGCCTATTCTTTAATTTTCTTTTGCTAACAAAAAAATTTGCAAGTATACAATTGTTCATAGTAGTTGGAATCCTGACCAATGCACAATCCATGTATTGAGCAAGTTGGTTTATGATCTTCTTTCATATGTGATAAACATTGCGGTGTTTGAACTATTTGGTTTGCAAGTTGTATACCTGTATGTCCTGAGTCTAAAGAATTTTTATTTTAATTTTGTGATTAATAGCATTTCACTGGATAGGATATACAAGAAAAAACTATAGAATTTTTTTTTGGGATCATGATTTTCCTTTAGGCATTCTATTTTGTCAAACAACCCATTGACCATTTATTTTGAGTAGCAGTGTTGTACTTACATTTCAATTCATTGGTAGAGCATAAAGAAATTGAGATGTTTAAGTATTTCTAAGTCCATGCTTTAGATGGTGTGATGTAAAATAAATAGGAGTATGGATGGGATTAATTTATGATTTATATGCCTTTTTTATAGTGATGCATGAAGAGGGCATTTGCTTATTATGGCTTTCTTAATAAGCTCTATAGAACTGATGTACACTTCTTATTTGTTATCGTTTTTATTATGTATTTAGTTTATATATTTTGTTTCATCCAATCCGAACTCATTAATCAATTTTTTTTTGAAACCTATTTTAATTGTTATGGGCAGGGGACGGGGATCAAAATTTACCTGCGGGATGTGGATTAAAATTTCACATGCTACTGGGGGTGGATGAATATTTTTGAAGCGGATACGGGAGTGGAGACTATTCGCCCACCCCCCGGCCCAGTGTATTGTCATCCCTAATACTCGGTATTGGCTAAAGTTTGAATTTTTTTTTTTTTGCATTGTGCATTTGGAAATAGTAGTATAGTGCCCCTGATTTATTTGCTCAGCTGAAGGTGATATTCAAATTAATTTCTTCGTTTTTGTTTTTGTAGCTGAGACTATTTATGGATGGAGCCTCCTATTTAAATACATTTATAGCAATGAATTACGTATAGATAGTACAATTATTTCTTGGAAATACTTTATTGTTAGAGGTTTTTGCTTGAGTGCAGAGAAGGAACAATGAACATGATTCGCTTGCCAGTGCGAGGGTGATCGTCAGCAAGGCCATCGGTGATGGTTTTGATTCGAAAGCCAAGGTAACGGGCGAATCGGGACTCAACATTGCCGTGCTTGATGATGTGATTGTAGCTAAAATCGAGGGTGAGAGAGGAGAGAAAGACAAAGAGAAAAATGATGGAAACATTCTTCTTTGCGGTTATTCTTTCAATTTTACTGTTGGTACTGCCTCAATCAAACAAATCTCAGAAAAAACCAAGAGTTTTTTCATTTTTAATTTTTAAGGTACGATGATAAAATATATACATGTTCAAATTTTTTGATTTATGTTTTTTTAGGTAATTTTGTTTATTTTTTTATATATTCATCGATTCTAGATACTCATTGTTATCATTATGTGTGCACCTCTTTTTTCTCTAGCTAATGCTCATTTTTTTAGTTGATGATTTTTTTTGGTTACAAAGTCCCTTCAGGCACGGGCAATAACTAATAAGTCTATACAGAGGGACCGACCTCCAAGTTTTCCTAAAATTTCTTAACAGACAGACTAGTACACCAAAACACACATGCACACATAGTACACCAAAATACACACACACACACACATACTAAGATAAAATCAAACACGGGCCATAGGTCATGCACACATGTCGGGTCAGATCATGGTTCGGGTCAGCCATTGATCATGGTTGGGTCAATCATGGATCATGGTTCGAATCATGGGTCATGTCGAATCATCTTCTTTATTAGTGTGTGATTTTAGTGGACTATTGTATGTGTGTATTTTTTGGTATATTTTTATATTGATTTAATTTTTTTACTTGTGTTATAATAGAAAGATAAATATTCAACTCAATGACTACTCATTTATAATTCATTTTAACCCGCATTAATTAAAATGAATCATACTACCCAAGTCATTTAGAACCCGCATGAATTAATATAGATACCCAACTTAATTATTTATGGGCAGGTTAGACAGATTAATAGGTAATGGGTTAAGATTGTCACCTCTAATGGCCATGGAATATGTTGTGATTTACAATGCACTCCACGAAATTAGCTAATTACAAACACATATTTAGCATCTTGTTTGTTTTTATTCCTCCCTACCTATTTGCACCATTCACATTACATTACTTATCATAGACATTACATTCTCAATCACATAATTATTTATCATATTGCATCATTAGTAAAAATCAAAGAAATCTCAAAATTAGTTATTAATTCACCTCTCTTAAGTTGCATTTGGGCCAACACATCACATATTGGAGAAGAAGAACTTGTTCATTCTACCAAACCTACTTTAATAACCGAGATTCTTTGGTGAGACCTAGGAATGCTCAATGCCTAAACGAAGTATGTGGTGGAGAGTTGAAGTGAAGCTATCCACGATTAGTGGGTGTTTCTAGTGGAGTGATCTATTGAAGGAAATAAGCATCTAACTATAGTATTAGTTAAGGTATAGACTCGAGTACTTGTAAATTGATTGTGGGATACTAGATTAGGCTTTGATGAATCCCGAATGGCTCCTTGTAATTTTTTCTAAGGAGAATTTTTGTGTCAACAAATCTCTCGTGTTATTTATTGCGTTATTTGATACACTTATAATTTGTAGCACACATGAGCACTATGTGTTTGATATTATGATTATGTAAATGTTCGTATCATCCATAGTGGTTTGGTAGTGAGTAGTTGCCTTGGGTTGGGATCACCATAAGTGATTGAATGTTAATCAATAAAATTGACCTAGTTATTACACTAATCATCATGGGCTTTATGGGTTATTCTTGGTAAAGGGGTTCTAAAGTGGTTAATTGCCAAATTATTTTCAGAAAGAGGTAATTGTGGTAATATGTGTTATAGTTTGATGTCTATTCAACTAGAATTGAAATTAACCTATTCACCTCCCCCCTTTAGGTTGTGTCTAATCCAACACATGTAATCATGAGGGACAATCCATTCCCCACAAGTATATCATTTTTATCCTTACAATTGGGATTAGAACGAGTCTCTATTTAGGATTGTTTTAGGCACATTGTGTAAGACGCCGTACTATAATTAAATAAGGATAATATCATCCTAATAATTCTCTTAAGATAAATAAAAGAATAGTAGAAACTTCAAATTATTGTTGAAAGATTGATCACAAACCTTCAGGTAGAATTTGGTTTCGGAGTTGTTTAAACTTAAGAATGGTGGCTAGGTAAGTTTTTGAATGTTTTTAGATCAAAATAAGGCTACAATTAAATCCAAAAGGTTGGGAAATGTTGGGAGAGGTGATATGAGGTGTATTAAACGTTTAGAAGTATTCTGGAGTTAATATGCATTTTGGAGAGAAATTGGGTAGAAAAGAATCAGACACTACCTTAGTATTTTAGCGATAAATTTTTATCTGGATGTTTGATTGATTTAATTTTTGGACAGTAGAAGCTATACTTCAAGGGATATGAAACTGTATTTCATGAACATTTCATCAATCGACCTCTAAATAAGACAAAACTTCCTTAGAAGTTCAGGCAAAAAATAAAGACCATTTGAATGTGATGGATCCATTCGAACACCATGTCAGATGAATTTTTCAGCAGAAAATAGAAGATGCTAGGAGTAAAGACTCTATTCGAACTCCCTAGGTACCATTCAAACGTAGAGTTCTTCATTCAAACACGATGAAGCGATCTTGTAGATTAGATCTGTGCTGACTGAACTATTTTCTCATCCTATAAATACCTAGGGACATCTATTAGGGGCTACTTTATCTATATTTCAATCCTAGGAAGTTAAGAGAAGTTGGGAGAGATGAAAAAGAGGCAAGATATTATAGGATCAATGCATATAAATCTATGAAGCACGAATACTTTGTTGAAGTTGACGTATTCGTATTGGATACGATACTCGTCGGATACTTGAAATTACAAAGTAACCATAGCCATTCCTTTTTGCCCAAGCTAGATAAAAAACTGACCTCCCATCTATCCCATAGATTCGGCGTACATTCCAGTCATTGGGGTTGGGATCTGACTTGGGTAGACAAGAGGATTAATTAGGGATACAAAAGTTTTTTTTACCTACATATCCAGGTTGGGATGATATCAAACCCACCCCTCTCCTGCGTTTGGTGAAGCAATTATTCATGAGTTTTTAGGGGACTGTTTGTTATGGGTTGAGATTTAAATCCCAAGCCTTAAATCTTAATCCAAATATGACTTTAGCCTCTCTATTGGACTATTTTTTATTAAACCCCCATTGTAATACCCACTCAAACCCTCCATCCAAGCATGTCGTTTGGGCATGTTTGGATTGTTTTTGGGGTGAGAAATTTGATTGATTTTATCAAACTCTTCCAAACCCAACCCTAACCCCCACCCCCACCTTTAATACATGAGATTCATGAATGAATCATATCTATACCCGTGTTTAGTAAGTAATATATACATATACAAGACCCACAGATTTATCACCACACATTTATCATGGAAATCACTATTTTGCCCATTGTCTAATTCAGTCCATACTTATGTTTATTTAATTCTCTTTCTCATCTTTTTCTACATCTCATACTTCTAACAAGTTTTTGAAAAGTCTTGGAACCCACATATCAAATACAGAAGGCAATCTCACACTAAATAGGATAAAAAAAAATTAGAGTTTGTATATTTATATAGGAACAACATATTCTGAGTTTGTCCTTGAGCATTTATGTGAAATTTGAATCAAACTTGCAATATGATTTATAACCAAAACACCAATCCTAGGACCACCACAAGTAGTGTAACCTAGTACATTTATATACCACAAAAACTTCAGGTCATGAAAATCAAAAAATTGCTTTATGTCATGGTCATATCGCTGGAAACATTATATACGCAATAGACAAATAACAATCAATTCTCCAACAAACATAAAATAAAAAAATTGGTGAGCATCAAATAATACATAAATCAAAATTGGCGACCATCTTAACCCAACATGAGCATCAAATAAATACAAAATCTGGAAAAAGAAAACTAAAACACAGAGTCGAATCAAAGGAAAAAAATGAATTTGATTCCAAGCATTGAACATATCATAACCGTTATCACTTCCCATCCACCACCGCCACACCACTGATGATTTTCTAGCAAAAGAATTGGTGAAACATCCCTCCCCCAACCATAATGATGAGAACACCCAACCCCGCTGCCTCAAAGAGAAATCGAGAAATCAAGGAAACCCACTAGCCCCCTTCCAAACCGCTGTTATCACCCACCCAAAAAATAAAGAAAACTGAGAAATCAAAATATCATTGACCCACCAGTTCCACCCCACAATCACCACACGGCCGCCTCCAACAAAAATCGAACAACAAAAAATCAAGAACCGAATTGCCTGTTGAGTTGAGAGATGACAACAGGTCTGCGAAGTCAGCCATAACCACTCCTTTTCGCCCAAGCCAGAGAAGAGGTGACCTCCCATCTATTACATAGATTCGGCATCCATTCTAGGCGTTGGAATTGGGATCTGACTTGGGTAGATAGGAGGATTAATTAGGGATACAAAAGTCTTTTTCACCTAAATATCCGAGTTTGGATGATATCAAACCCACCCCTCTTGGGTTTGGTGAAGCAATTATTCATGGGTTTTAAGGGAACTGTTTCTTATGGGCCTTTTCTTTCTCCATTACATATATATGGAGAAATTTACGAATCTGGAAATCACCATTATGCTAGAGTTAAGTATCAAATCTAAGGTATTTTTTAAATAAATTTATCCAATTATAATATTTTTAAACTTATTTATTAAATTACGATACTTTTTAAAAAATAAATTTTGATTAGCGCAAAAAGTAACTGGGTCAAGCCCAATTAATCAAAAGAGGCCCACGTTACCTTGAAACTCAAGTCAATAAGTTAAGAAAGAACTCAAGTTAAGGGAAGCCAAAGTCAAGGAGGACACTCCAAGGGGCACCGCCCAAGGGCTACCCCAAGGGGGGCCACCCTAAGGGGATCCCTTCCCTTCTTTTTCTCATGCTCCCTCTCCTGCACAACCTCGTGGAGTCCTTTGCCCTCTTGATTCTTGTCCAATACCCACTAACTCAAGTCCAAGCCCAGGATTCTCCTCTGGCTGAATTGGAGCACGATGAGAGAATATCAAGATACGTACGGAGATCTAATTCTACCATAACTATACTTACTAAAAAGTAGTGATCGCCTCACCAAACCTATATAATGTAAACCCTCCTCACATAAAGGGCATGACCTTTGAAACCTCTCTACACACCAAGTCTCTCTCTCTCTCTCTA